GTGTGTTTGATTAGGGTTGGAGCTAAACTCTCCAGGACACCGGCCCTTCAGGACTGAGCTTGCACACCCCTGGTGTAGATGCTTATATGGTGATCAGTCTTGGTGTGAAGAAAGACTGATAACTCTATAAGTATACCAAATAGCCTTAAAATAGCATAGTGACCTGCAAATGACTAGATTCAAAGTTGCTTTTCTACAGTCCAACTCACATCGTTTTAGTATTAAATTGTTTTATGTTTTTTCATTTGCTGGTCATTGAGTTACTCTAGGGGAAATATTCCTGTAAAATCTGCACTGAGATGTTTGTTGATCTGAGTAATGAAAGAGGATGTTGCTTCAAGCAATACTTTTAAAATCTGCAGTTTTCTTTAGCTTAACCTGCACATAACTGGAGGGGTCCAGATGTGAAATGTGTCCTGACAGGTCTGTTCTTCACTCGCTCCCGTCCAAACACACACACACACACACACACACACACACACACACACACACACACACACACACACACACACACACACACACACACACACACACACACACACACACACACACACACACACACACACACACACACACACACACACACACACACACACACACACACACACATTAGAGCCTTCTCAACCTCAGTCATGGTGAGAAAACCACAACAGGCAGAGTCAGTGAATCATTTCTGGTATGAATCCACATTATGAAACCCCGCTCCTGTTACTGCACGTTGCTCAGCACTGGGGTTGTGCAATGTGCTCTCGGGCTGACTCACATACACACACACACACACACACACACTGATGATTCCCACAGGCCTCAGCACTAGATCTGTGAGCATTTCAGATCATTAGCTGGGCATTTTCTCGACGCACTTAAAAAAAAAAAAGATTAGTCAACAGATGGATGTTGTCCAGTGGAGGAACTGTTTTTCCAGTTGGAATGCAGGTTAAGAAATTGTGCCAAACCTTCAGTGCGGCTTATTTTTTGGAAACCAGTTCTCCAGCCTATCACGCTACACCCGCTTTACGCTCACATGTGGCAAAAGAACAGACCAAAAACATGCTGTCGTTATGACACGCTGCATATGTCGAAAACATCCGACAGCTCATACACATGTTCTCCCTCTTGTCTCAGTGTCTCACAAACACACAAACGTCAAGCTCCACTTTGACTCACATGGCTGTGGGTTGTTTCATAGCTAAGGATAACAGCAGGAACAAGGCGAGGAATGCTGGACATTCAGCGCGTCTGGAGTGAACACATCTGTCCATGAAATCAAAGCAGAATTTAAGGCCACTGAGCTTTAATGTCTATGAATAAGCATTTTTTTTTTAAAGATTAATTTATCAGATTTTTTTTTAACAGCTAAACAAATAGGAGTAAATGAGAAAAGACAGTACAAATATATAAAATATATATGTAACAGTACAAATTTGATAAAAAAAAATTATAAATAGACCACACTATAATATATTGTACAACAAGCAATATATGATGTGCATAGTAACTGTGACAAATAAAGCATGTAATCTAGGGCTGCATGATATTTATACCCAGGGCTTTACATTAACACCCGCCAAATGCGGGTAGATTTCAGCTTTGGCGGGTAAGACAGCCGCTCCCACTACCCACTTTGGCAGATTGGAAATAATTTTTACATTGTAGTTTTCTTAAAGCAGGGTTCGACAATAAGGATGACCCAATATGCGTGCAATTGTGATCTTAGAATTGAGAAACAGCACGACTGAAAAAAACAACTGTGTTCGCGCGAGACAAAGCAGGTGAATACCATATGACAGGAGTATTACTCGCGTGCACAGGTGATGCGATGCGCTCCCATTTACTTGCGCTTTTTTCCCGTTCACTTGCGATCAGTTCTATTTGAAAAAGACTAGACAAAAAACGATGCTCGTGTACCCACAGTCCTGCTGCTTTTAAGACTTTAAGATTGAAAAATATATATATTTGTAAGCAACAGCAACAGTCACTGCTTTTGTTTTAATATACTCAGGCATGTGATCATCTTTCAATATCACTCGTGGTATGTTTTTACCTGCTTTCTTTTGCTTACAGTTATTTTTGTTAATATAGTTTAATTATCATCCTTTACAATAACATTTCTTTAATATGAGATTAACCAACCATTTGTGTGTAGTAACTGCTGATCTGGGACAACACAACATCTAAATCAAGTCATTTTAGCATGTCAAAGTCACATTTATTTATATAAAATATATTTTCCAAACAAAAAAATTGTGGCTAGTGAAAATGGCAAGTGGCTAGTAATGTTGGAAATCTACTTGCCACAGTGGCTGGTGATCAAAAAAGTTTAATGTAAAGGCCTGTTTACACCTGTTAACCCTCCTGTTTTTCCCGACATTCTCCCGTATTTTATAGTTCTATCCCACTAAAGCATGAGACAATAATATATTAAAGTGAAAACGCAGGGGGATGGCATATTCTTCTTGTGGTTTTACTTCAAGAAATGGTTGTATGCTTGTGTTATATCAGCACTAGTACTTATCTGGACGGTACACGTTGAAACTTCCTAAACTCTTTTGTATGTTGCGCCAGTCCTGCGTCCTCATCATTTGCATGTTTATAAGGGGATTTTTAGACTTCTACATTGTTTGGTTCTTTCCAAAAATAGAGATTTAATTAGCTACAATGTCACAATTTCTTCTTGTTACGGTTGCTTTCACAGAGTAACATTTTAAAGCATACCTAAATGTGTTTCTGCAAGTCACATGAGAGTACATCTGCCCTCTCATTGGTCAGAACGCACCCATTTACGTTCCTCTGCATCATCCATCAAGATGGATTGACAAGTTCACTGTGCAGGTTTTTGTGGAGCTGGTGTTACACATGCATTAAGTTATGTAGCCATCATTCCTGGTCTCACTGATAATATTAATATGTTAAATGTTATATTTAATTGATAATACTTTCATGAAGAAGTGCACTCGAAACAATTTAAAAGGAGCTTTCAATTGCAATAACTCTTATAATCGGACATGGCTACTTTTAATGTAACAAATGATCATTTTTCTTGTTTCATTGATCTGTTGGGTCTGAGTGCTTTTTCACCTCAATCGATTGCCTCTAGAGTTTGTTTTCAGTGAGGGTGAAGTCCGTCTCGTTTAGGTATTCTCAGGACGAACGTTTTGGTACAGATCTATGTGCAGCTGGGGTTTACATCATGCCTCAAACAGACAAACAAGCTAAAACAGCACAATGTTCTGAAAGAAATGCTTGAAACGTGGTGCATTTTAAACATTCAAGCCATTTTGTACTGTTCACCAAATGCACTTCTCCTTTGAATCTTCTTGAGTAATGGTCAAAATGTCCATCTTGTGTATCTTTGTCCTTGCTGCTGTAATTATTTTTATTTTAACTTTATTACTGACTTGTCTTTGCAATAACATTGTTTAATAAAACTTTATTAGTTTACTTCTTAATTACTTGTTTAGTATTTACTAGGGGTATGATGAGATCCCTTCTCCACGAGACAAGACGAGATTTTCATACTATTTTTTGGAATCCTCAATGATGAAGTATATGAATGGAAAATAATATTTTATTCAACTGAAAAAATATCTGAAAATAGGTGCTTTTTATAAATTCTATTTGTAATTAATGTTATTTTACTTCTATTTGAATGAATTCTATGTTGTAAAGGGCATGCAAACACTGGAAAATATTTGCTCATATATGAATGGAAAATATATTTTTATTCAACTGAAAAAATATCACAAAATGCAAAACTATTTAGCTGCTTTTATAAATTCAACTAGTAATGAATGTTATTTTATTTCTATTTTAATGACTTATGGCGTACAGGACATGCAAACACTGCAAAATATTTAGCTATAAACACACTACTGGCTGGACAAACTCTTGAGCTACATGATGCAAGAATGAAAATAAGGACTGATAGGGGAGAGTTGTTTTAATCGGCTTTCACCTTGACCGTGATTTAGTCTCACAAGATCTTTTAGCCGAAGTTCTCTTCACACCCCTTGTATTTACTATTAGTATTTCTGGGGTATTGAACATTACTTTGGTTACATGAGTCAAAATCAATGTCAGTTATTATTATAATTGTTTAATTTTAACGATTAATTTTGGTGAATCCAGTATAAATTTTTGCAAGGCAATTAATGTGTTAAACTTTTTCTTTTTTCACAGTGTTCTTGTTGCTGTGTGATTATATGTTTAAGTACTAAGAAATAATAGGGAAGGCAGTGGCATCTAATTATTCATAATTTACAATCATTAGTTCAAAACTCACATTTAACTTGTGCAACAGAGGCATAAAATAAAGTGTGAAAATCTCTTGCAGTCTAAAAACATTCAGCACTGAACTATACTAACAGCATACACACAATGTCAGAATCGATTTCACCTTGTTTTGATTTTTGCGTCACATAATGACAGGTCACACACATTGTCTGATAAACATCGGCTGTTCTTCAAAATGTCAGCAACAAACAACATCACAGTTAAAATGATATGCCAATTACAACATGATACACATAGCCTGTCCTGGCACAGCACTTGCCCTGGGCTAATGCCCAATCTGAATGCTTATTAGAGTTCAGTGCAATGGGTAACTTTTATACGAATCTTGTGCAAGGTCTTAACCATGTTTTAAATCGTTGTTTCCTCACCAGTTATAAGCTGGGGGACATTGAGTATGTTTACATGGAAGACAATAATATGATTAAGAGTCTACCATGTAAACAGAGATTACCTTAATCCAGGTGTTCCCAAACTTTTCAGGCCGCAACCCCCAAAATAATAATGCCAGTGACTAAATTAACCGAAATGAGCATCCCTAGTTCAGACACAGATAATAAGTAAAACGGAAATAATTATTGATTTCTTGTGCCGCACGGTACCAATTGATCCACGGCTCGGGGGTTGGGGACCACTAATTTATAGGACTAGAGCTCGAGACTACTACTGTGATTGTCCATTGACCTGTTTTGTTTTTGCTCTCTATGCAGGTTTACGTGGAGTTTGACGACCTGGAGTGGGATAAGCGCGAGTGGGTCAAGGTCTACGAAGACTTCCAGATCTTTCTGCTGGAACATCAGCTGGTTTGGGCCAAAAGAAAAGAAGGTGCCCAGCTGCAGGGAACAAAAGCCAAGCAGATCCAGTGGCCAGCTCTGGTGAGTCATTCCTCCCAAGGTTTTTTTTTTTTATTGTTTTATTTTTTCGGAGTCGGGGATGCGCTGAGCTGCAGCTGTGGAGTATTTCAAGCTGGAACAATAGCTCTGCGGAGGCAATACGACGGGATCCTTTATGTGGCTGAGATGATTTCGGGTTTGGATGTCTTTCAGATCAATGGCTCACGTCTGACAATAAGATCATTATTTGTTTCGAAAGACAGAGGGTTTTGACGTCCTTTTAAAGAGAGGGAAAGGCAAGCAAGAGCAAGAGATTGTAAATGTTTCACGGCTCGCACTGTTTTGATTATGTAACGTGAGCAGCAGCACAGCGCCATCTGGGTAATGCGGACTCCATAGAAAAGTTCAAAGAGAAATCCTAGTGTTGGAAGGTTTGCACACACACACACACACATGCACAAGCTGACGACCCAGCATGTGTCATGTTTCTCCTACTCTCACCCAGAACTCGTGAGCGGCCTGTAAGTCCCTCGCTGAGCAACAAGGAAGTCTTTCAAATCCATGACGCATATGCTACTGTAATTAGATGTGTGTGTGTTTTAGTCATATAATGGCTTGTTAGTTCTGTTAGTTAGTTCTGTTTTGGCGTACTCAATTCAATTCATCTTTATTTCTATAGCGCTTTTACAATGTAGATTGTGTCATAGCAACTTTACATTCTAGTAAATTGAATCTGTGCCAGTCCAGTTTTCAGAGTTAAAGGTTCAGGACACCCTAGAGAACTTTGTTTTTTATTTTAACAGATTTGTTTGTGTTGAACATCAGTTAAGACAATGTTAGCACCTGTCAGCTTTAATTGTGGGGAAAACTGGATAATTTTGAGCTTTAGTCAGCTAATTTCAGCTTCCGGGTTTAAAATGATTTTTTGGGCAGGATCAAAATCAGAGACGTAGCGCAGTACTGCAAGTGCAATGATGATGCGTCGGTTTCTCATTATTATTCATAGCGGAGTTTTCTTATCCTATGAGAAGAGCCGGCTGCTTAATTATTCATGAGACCTGCCAGAGTCAAGCCCGAGCTGTGAGACACGTCACGGACCCACGGCACGGGCACACAGTATTTAGCCGTTCATGAAGGCTCATATGCGTTTGTTTCCATGATCCACGCGGTTTGTTGCATGTTTTCCCCGCGATCTTGTCAGGGCCGATCATACAGCAAAGCTGTGTGTGTGCTGCTAGCATTTTTGTCGGGAGAGCAGCACGAGAATTAGAGAATGGCGGACGCTGTCTTTTATCAGGAGTTCGTTCGTTCGTTTGCCTAAACCCTCCAGATTACCAGCAGCAGGGCTAATGGTTAAAATAGACACGTCAGGAGACCTGCTGGATACGGGGATTGAGGGAGAAGTCCTCATTTATAGGGTTTACATGAACACACTTATCTTTATAATGATATAAATTGTGGTTATGTGTATATGAAATTACAAATAACAAATGTAGCAGGGCATTAAATCACTGTTCATTTCTTTGCATTTTAACTTTGTAAACTATAAACTCATGCGTCTCCTCACGGTTTGTCTCATTTTGTGAGCTAGCTCCGTTCGCTCACGTTCTCCCCTGCTGGCCACGCCCACTCCTGCCCGATGCTCGCGGAGCTCCACGCCCATTAATCATGCATCTTTTGAAAAAATTCTGAAGTAGACTTTAACCGAAAGTGGGGGGTGTCATGGCCCTTTAAAGTTCAGTGTAAATGTTGTGTTGGTTAAAGTGTGTTGTAGCACATTTGACAGCTGCATGACTGCATTCACAGTACAGACTTCATTATAACGCTATTTAACTAAAATTGTTATTGTGTAGGGGTGAAGCACGTGTAGGCTAAGTTAATAAATGGCCTTTGTTCATGCTGCAGTGTTTCCTGTGGCGGCAGGTCTTTTGCACAAATCTCCCAACTACCTATGATGTTATTTCAATGACAAATGTCGTGAGCGCAATATTACAAGTCGAAATAAACAGAATTAATGATTAGCTAAAAATCTGCAGAATTCTGTGCGCGCAGATTCCGTGTGGGCCTAGTCATAGCTCTTACCATAATGTATATTTTAGCACAGATAGACCTAATCAGCACCCTGTAGTTGAATTATCTGTTGTTTTTGTTATGCTCCACTCGTTTTCAGAAGGATTTAACTAGAGCGAGATATGATATAGTTAATAGACTGTTGACAACAGCTGATTTTCAGAGAAAACACAAGCATGCATTGTGCTTTATAAAAATGATTCTTATATTATTGTGCTATTTTTTTAAAGCAGCAATTATTTTTCATTGATTTGGTTTTCGTTCTTTACACTATTTTCACTCCGGCTTTTTTACAGTTGTCAAACAACTTAATAACCTAATTATGTGACTCTACGCCTGACCAAACAGCAATTTACCCACACGTCTCGCGTGATTGTGCTGTTCTCTAGTCTCCCTTTGACAGCTGTTATTTTGCTGTCGTCTTTCCCTCTTTTAAGTTTCCCGTGTCCCTCGCTTGCACACAATTGCCTTCACGGCTCTATTATTTATGGCTGCCATTGGAGGAGAGTTTATTGCCAAGCAGATATCCTTACTCAGCACTGTTTTCGCAGCACACTTTGGCCTTTCTTCTGTAGGTCTGTTGATATATGTGCTTCAGCTCCAGCTTAGCTGATTGTTTTCTCCAATGTTCAGATTGAGCACAGCAGATCTTTCAGCTGAATGTGACTTGGGCCGGTTTCTCTCCTCAAACATGTGGTGTGTGAGCAGTTTAGTCTATTTTGTGAACGATTTTGTTTTTCCTCTAGATGAGTCAGCCGTAAAGACTGACGAATCATTTTCTAACATTCGAGTTATTGTTTTGTACCGGTCTAACGACTCTGGTTTAAATTTGACTCACTGTCTGAACCACAAGTTTTTACTTTCAGTCCTGTCAGTCTCTGAACATAACTGACAATTGCTATTGTGTCATTTATGATGTTGTGTGGAATATTGTTATGTATATTGTGTTGAATTTAAAGTGACAGTCACCAAAACGGCATGATTGGGATCACAGCCTAAAAAAGGCAGTTTTGCAGAGTTTATTTGTGTGACATTTTGAGCTGAAACTTTACACACTCTAGGGACTTATTTGACATCTTATAGAAATGGGTATTATAAGTCCCTTTTAAATAAATGCTAATCTTTTGAACTTTCTAATCTTTAGGGAATCTTTTAAAGGGGTGGTCCACTAGGATGTTCATATTTTGAACTTTAGTTGATGTGTTATGTAGCTGTGTGAACACAAACGACATCTCTGAATGTAATTTGCTCAAAGTTCAATGCAAAGCGAGACATTGGCTTTTACAGAGTTAGCTTAGTAAAGCTAACAAAGTTTGGAGACTACAGAAAATACATCCGGTTTAGTGAGATCACAAATACTTCAGTTTACGTGCATACACTACGCGCATACACCCCACACAGTGAAGGGATGTGGCAAGAGGCGCTGTAATGTTATAGCAGAGAAAGCTAAAAGGACACAACACAAAGTGAGCAGTGCTTAAAATTTATTCTTAATTATTTTCCAGAGAATTGTATATATATATATATAGCATTTGACAAAGGACAGCTTCCAGAATCTCTCCCTGTTCAGTGCTGGATTTGGCTAAAAAGTCCTCAAAGGAGCAGCTCCAACAAGCAGAAGCTGTGGATTGTGAGCCACAACCTGTAAGTATTTTTGTTAAAATTGTGTTTAAAAAAAAAGCAAGGACGTAAACAAGGATCTAAACCAGGGGAAATGCTGTTTGGCACCGCTAACAATTTAGCTACAAATTCATATTTATCTATCAAACCACCCACAATCTTAACCAGCGCTGCAGTGTCTCTCTATGCGGCCACATTCTCTGCGTCTACACTCTCGAATAACAAACTCACAGAAGATATGTAAACGTTTCCGATTACTTATACATGCTATGACCCAAATATATATGAAAGACACTTGTCATATGTTATTTTAGAGAGTGGGCGTGAGCTTCAGCTGTGTCTTCTTTATTTTCTGTCTGATTCAGGCACAAACTGATACAGCTAACAGCTACTCTGACTGACAGTGTTTACACAGCGCAAAAGGGTGTGCTTGTAGGGGCGTGACGCTTTTCTTGGTGATGTGGAGCCAATCCACGAATTACAACACATTATTTTAGCAGACCAATCAGAGCCTCTTGAGGGCAGGTTTTCGGAGGAACTAGGAAATATGACAGTCGTTTTCATGTTAGCGGTGTAGCTGTATATAATTAAAGTAAGATATATGAAAAAAATAGCGTGATATTCTACAAATGAAGCATGGGCACACATTGCTTTGCATCCTATAAACACAACCAAGCCTTAAAGATACCACCCCTTTAAAAAAGTCACAGTTTCCACAATAGTCTGTTTTCAAACTTGATAATAAGTAGTTTAATAGGCACCAAATCAGAATATTAAAAATATATAGATATCATTATTGTGTATAAAAGGGATCACCTAACTTGTTCCTGGAGGTCCTGCAGATTTTAGCTCCAACTCTAATCAAACACACCTGAACAAGCTAATCAAGATCTTACTGGGTATACTTGAAACACCCAGGCAGGTGTGTTAAGGGAAGTTGTAGCTAAACCCTGCAGGGCACCGGACCTACAGGAACAAGTCTGGTGACCCCTGGTGTATACTAAATGCTCAGTTGTTTCCTTTTTTCTATGTCTTTGCTTGTGTGCTGATAGCTTGACTTTGCAGCAGATGTGATGCAGCTTGCTCTCTCTTTGGATTTGGTTATCAGTGACGAGTGCTGTTGTTGGTTCAGATGAGATTGTCTGCAAGGCCTTTATGCATTTACGACATCCTGTAAATCTCCTTTGTCAAGTGCAGTATTTTACGCGGCCATGCTGAAGTGGCCAGCTCTCCGATGGCATAATTGTATTTAGCCCTGCTTGGCCCACAGCCTCTAGGGCGATCTTTACTGCTGATAAACGCTCACAGCCAGAACCCCAATGTCTTTTCTTTGCATACAAGGAATGAAATCA